TCAGCTGTTCCTTAGGGAAATTTTGATTATTTGCTGCTAAGAAAATGGCGTCCGAAATGGCCGATGGGTTTGATGGAACTGAATGAAAACGTGATAAATAAATGTCTGATATTTACAGGCTCCCGATAGAGGCCGTACTCGAGTGTTGCGATCGCGAATATTGATGTGTATCAAAACAAACTAAAAAAATATTTATAGAAAAACAATACTTTTATGACTTTTATGCTAGTGAGAACCAAAACAATATAGAAATGAATGAGAGAAAACTGGATCCTACCACGTGATTTCCCGGCCATTAAAAATGTAGCGTTAAACGTTTAACGCAACCTTGTTGGAAGTCGCATAAGAATTATAACTTCACAAATGTAGTTACTTCTTAGGTTGTGGCGTTTCCTCCCGTTGATTCAGCATGAGATCTGTTGATTCAGTGTGATCTATCTTGGTCAGTAATCTATCTTCAGAGTGAATATCTTGGAGGATGGGAATTTCTTCCAATGCCACACGGCCACCAACAATATCATCTATCAACAACTTCATAGCTTTTTCATTCTCTGAAATTTTTTAGCATAAAATTAAAATATATATAAACAAACAAAAAACATTTCCCCTTTAAAATCAGTTTGGCGATTGCAGTTGACGTGACAGATCAGGATACAGAAAGATCACCTAGATTTCAATTAGTGTGACATTATTAATTATCTGCTTTTAAATTACATTAATTGCTAAATGCAGTTAATCTTGTGCTTGACATAATTCTATTATAAAAGAATTATTCAAGAAAAGAATTATAAAATAAGGAAAAATGATGCCAAATAAAAAATTTGGATCAAAACAAAACTTCAACAATTAACTTTACACAGAACAATCGCCAAGTCTCTGCAACCTTCGAACAGAGAGGTTGTGAGAAACTGAATTTTAAAAAAAAATCACAGAAAGAGAACAACTTGAAATTTATAACGTGTAGCTATCCCCCAAGCAACATCTACTTATTATTACTTTTTTTAAATTTGCAAATTTAGAATCTATTTGGCACTTCAGCGATTGCAGCTGACGCGACAGATTATGATACAGAAATATCTCTTGCCCTAGGATAGACCTATCATATTGAAATTTAAATATGAAATGGAAATATGGAAGTCTTTACAAACATATCTATATATAAATCTTATGCAGAATTTATTTTAAATTATAATTTTAATGAAGTTCATACAATTTAAATTGTTTGATAATTTTTATTAAGTCCTGTGATTCTAATAAAACCCAGGGAGATTTCCGTATCCTGTGGCAGAATCATCGCCAAGTCTTGGAAACTTCCAGGCAGTGTCCCACAAGCAACTAAAAAAATAAATCACAGAAGGAGACAAACTCTAAAGGTATAGCTCATAGCCACCCCGGAATATCTAAATGTTTTTTTTTATTGCATGTTTAAAATCTATTTGGAATTTTGGCGATTGGTGTTGTCGCTCCAGATCACGATTCGGAAATATCCCTTAAAACTTATAGAAGTAGATTTTAAAAAACTGTCTAATTGGAAACATATTCCATGTAAAATAAAATTTCGTATCGTCATCTACGCCAAAATAATCGCCGATTCCTGGAGACGTAACAGAAGTAGCCAAGAAACTATTCAACAAAACAAAAAAAGTAAATAAATAAAAATTAAAAATCGTTTATTTATTTTTCGTGTAAAATTTATTCCGCACCTTGCAGGTTAGTATGACAGATCTCGATACGAAAATATCGCCGTTAACAAAATATGGCAGGCAAAAGATAGTTTAAAGAATTAGAAAGATAATTAGAAACTTACCTCCAAATTGCGGGAAATAAGAGGGATACAACTCGTTGTTCCAACGGATCTCTTTCTGTCCCATTTTTCTAAATCCGTTGCACGAAGCTCAGATTGGTCAATGGCTTTTCTCAACTTTAGAATTGAGTATTGGTTTTCTTCGTAGAAATACACAAGTACATGCATTTTTTTTAACATCCATTTTAACTTCAATAATTTCTAACACTTATCACGTTGCTAATAGAGAATTCAAAATTTTTAGTTAGTTCGAGTAGGGCGGTTATAGTTCATATATATTTTAAGTCATTACATTAATTACTGCCAATATCTGTTAGACTAATTTAATTCATAATTCTATTTTATTAGCTTCTTGAAATTCAGTTATAAAAATACAATTTTTTCTCAACGAAATATTGATATAACCTGATTATCTTGATTGTATACCCAATTATCAGTTTCTCTCCTTTTTTTCACAATTCATTTCCGGCATCGCAAGGAAATTGAGTAGCTGCAACCGTAACTCAAGGTTTTTATAAAATTGTTTACATTTTTCATGAACGATAACTGTCGCTTTTTGAAAAACAAATATATCTCTTCAGTGAAAGGAGGTTTCACAAATTATTTGATATTAATAATGTCAAAAAAATATAAGCAGTATTTATGGAAGAATGAATCCTTACCAATCAGAACATTCAGTCGATACAGATCGAATATGCTGTTCGGTGTATAGTTTCGGTGTCAGAGTTTTCATCATTGTAGTGTTTTTTTAAACTATTGTCGGAGAAATGCAGAAATTTTAATATTAGCATAAACCTATCTCTAGGCATGCATTTGCTTACAAGTGGTGTTGACACTAGTTCGTCTGTTGACCAGTAGTGTAAAATATTATCTAAGTCTACATGGCCCATCAGCATAATTATTCCCAGAAATTTCTTAATTTCACCGGGATTCGTTGGCACCCAACTTGCCTGATGCTTTCTATTGCCTGATGATTCCGGTCTTGCATCCATTATTTGGTCCGCATATCTGTTTGTTTCATCAGATAATATTTTGAACAATTTATCACTAAAGAAAAGTTCAAAGAATTCGACTTCACTTTTCAAATCTTTATGTTTTTCATTTAATCCAACGTTTCCAGTAAACGGCAAAACATTTACTTTATCATCAAAAGATGGTTCCTTCCATTGAAATACTCTTTCTACTGCTTTTAAATTGGAAGTTGCAGAATTTGATTGACAATTATCCATAGATTCATCCTCACTATCAATTTCATCCACTTCATTTTTTTCTTCTTCCTCCTCACACTCAGATTCTGAATCAGCGTATGTTTCATCATCAAAATCATTCATTATCTTATGGATTTCATCTTGAGTGAGTGGTCTCCCTCTACGTGGCATCTTAAAGATGCGAAAAATTCTTTTAATGTAAAAAGAATAAAAAAATGCAAAACGAAAGTAACAAATTAAAAAATAAAACGTAAATAAAAATTTAATTAGAACATTAAAGCAAAAGCTTAAAAAAATTAACAAAAACGCAAACAAAAAATAAACGTAACTAACAAAGAAATTAATCGAAAAACAATAAACAAGGATTCGCTAAATGTCGCTGAAAAGATCACGAATAAAATGATACTAAACTTTCAAAGGGAATGAAAGAAATTCTCATAGCTCGAAACTCGCCAACTGATAATAACAGAGAAAAATATTTCAGCCAATTCGAATCGAAAGTGAGCACACGTGAAGTCTTTTTTCAACAATAGGAGCAAATTACAGGGGGTTCTTGAAGAAATGACAGGAGCGATGACGGTCTAGTAGAAAAGGGGGAAGAGAACCACCGGTACAACTGTTGATCCAGCGCCGCAATAAAAGAAGTTTTTTCTACCGGTACATATGCTGTACCAGCGGCAACCAAAGGGTTAATTGATCTTATTTTTAATGATTGTTAAATTGATCTTATTTTAAATTATTATTAAATTGATCTTATTTTTGATGAGTATTTGATATTTTTTTATTTATTATTTTATTGGAAAAATAACGAAGATGAATTAAATAACTCACGGGAGAAACGAAAAACAGCTAAGGTACAAGTTAAAGCATGTGCGATTTTCCTACGATACCACCTTTATATGGACCCCCCATAGGTTCCTATGAACAAGCGAAAACAAGATTTCTCTCTTGCAATCCCATGAGACATCGAATATCAAGTCATTGTTGCGAATAGTTAAACTTCTTTTGGACTGTTCTAAATGCTAATTGGTTATCAGTACTAAGAAAAATCATTAACTTCTCATTGGAGTAATAAAGATTTTTTTAAAGCTGAGTATACTATATAAAGCCAAGTTAATATGCTTCATTTTATTGTCACTTCTTTTTGACGCAATGGCGACTAAGCGAAAATGCACATGCTCTTTCGAAGCTCCCAGCTCAAAAAAGAAATCACTACCAGTTGCTCTGATCAAACCTTTTTCAGTCAAAGGAAGAGAGATTGACTATTCACCACCACAAGTGGTGGAGCTTGCAGAACAGAATCACGATATTCCAGTACCGTATCAGGATGTCGGGGACTTTGTGCCTGATTATCCTGATCTGCCGGATTTCAGTGACTCTTTCTGGAGGTGAATAATCGATGAGCAAAAAAAAGGGTCCTTTTTAGGGCCAAAAAAAAAGAAAGAAAGTCTAAGCATTTAATAGTTGTTCAAATGTCGTATTAAAAAAGAGGTGCGATCAAGTGTCAGCCTTTCAAATTATATGAAGGGAAATTTCATCTTTTTAGTTAAGATATAATTGATTTTTATTAACTATGAATATTAATTTAATTATAAATTTATTTTTAACCGAATTGTGGAAAAAGAGGAGAATGATTCATGGGAAGAAAGCGCATGCACATACATACACATGCAAGATCAAGTTTAAACACGATAACGCAAAACTGAGCATGCTAATGACTCATAAAATGGTGAAATGCGAAGCGCTTCAAACTTACTCATTTCACCACTAGGGGCTCTGGTGCAGATCTGTTACCAAATCAAACAGAAGTACAACATGATTTTCGACCAATAAGATTATGACTTTCGAATAGCCAATCACAAATAAGATGTAAAATGTATATAAGATCGGGCTTTAGGTAAAATCATCAGATTTTTATTAATTTTGTTTAAGAATCTTTAAAAATTTAAGCTGAGTAACGATGATGATAACATAGTAAGTATTCTTTCTAATATTATTTTACAATCCATTTCTTTGCATTAACATTTGGTAATCTGATTGTTGCTTCTATTTTTCAGAGTCATCTAAGTGCCTTTCTCGAAAGTAGTATTCCAACGAATATGTTTCATTTAGGAGAAGAGGTGACTCTAGCACCTTACCAGTTCATCCACTTACGCCCGTATTCACCATTGACCCTAACCCTCGGTCACAGTTCAAAACAGGTTTTGAGAGAGCAACTCCAGGTTAGAGTTATAAATCTCATTCCACCGTATACGTAACTGCGAGTTAATTTAACCCAGAGTTAAGTAACTTTAACCTGAAGATATTCCCGGTCAGCGTAACCGCGCATGCGCAGTAAACGAGTGTTTGTTTACTACTATTTCTTCGCCGGCGTTATTTGGTTAATGGAGGATTATTCTTTATAATAGAGGATTATTCTTTAATTCAAGAGCTTGAATTCCTTGAAAAGCTTGAGGATCGGAAACAAAAAAGAGATGTTGGAAATAATAGAATCTGCCCATTTGATGAGTTGGACGAGGCGAGCTTCAAAAAAAGATTTCGCCTGGATAAGGAAAGTGTTTCCTCTCTATTAGATATTATAGGCAAAGAATTGGAACAATCATCAACTTTAAATAATGCGTTATCGCCTTTAGAACAATTACTTATTGCACTCCGATAGTTTTACTACCGGAAGTTTTCAGCTTCTTCTCGGAGACTGCTTTCAGGTTAGCCAGTCTACAATATGTCGAGTCATACACAGAGTTAGCAAAGTCCTTGCTTCTCTGTGTAAGGATTTCATTCTCTTCCCAAAGACGAAAAAAGAATGTGAAGAGGTAAGAAATATTTATTTTTTTTAACTTGCTTACATATGCAACGCAATTAATATCTATGAAATGCATTTTATAAATTATTTATTGTTTATCACTTACATTCAAGGTTATACTGTAAGATATTATGATTTACTTGATATTCAAATATGTTAAATATTCCAATATACAGTAGTTTTTCTGAGTTAAAGTGATCATTATTTAATTAAAAAACACAACAATGATATTGTAACATCATCAATATATGGACATTATGAGGATATATCCTTATCATGATCACTACAATTGCTTAGGTGCCAATTAGATTTTAAGCTTGCTATTTTTTAATAAAAACATGTTAATATTTGCCCAGGGGTGGCTACAATCTATACCTTTTGAGCTGGTCCCTCTCTGTAATTTTTATCACGGGCCGTTGTCTGGAAATCCAAACACTTGACGATAATTACGTGACAAATGAGGATACAGAAATCTGTTTGTGCCTCTGTGGATACTATTATTTAATGTTTGGTTAACTTATGTTTATTGGCAATTAAAAATAGCTACAAGTGATGTAGTACAGAACTGTCTATCAATAGGAGCGCTTCACATGCACTCACCATTCGCATGTGGCGAGTCATAAGATAAGGGAGTACATTAGTTTCTACCTTAATTATCAAATGGATTATAAACTTTTAAGTTAGAAAACTTTTTGTGACTAAAAACTACATAGATCTAGAAGAAAACGTTGTTAAAATTCTAAACAAATTTTTTTACAAGTAAATAGGAAAAATATTAAGAAAGAAAAAAATTTCGTAGAACATTGATATGCAACTGAGATGAGGAGGGGTGGAGAGTCCTAGAGGAGTTCAGGGTACACAAAGGGATGTGAAAAAGAATTAAAAGTATATAATGAAACTAAAAAATTTTATTAAATTATTTGTACTCAAAAAGAAAAAAATTAATATCTTTATTTTTAAGCAATCACACATTTGTTAGAACCTCTCGTATGAAAATATATTTCTTAAAAACACATTTTAAATAGTATAAATGTTTATTAATACATGAAGTCTTTAGAAACTATATGTTTTAAATTTTGTTCTTCACACACCATTTATAATTAGAGATAAAAGTTGTTATGATCGTTCTTAGCATCANGCATTTTTACCAGGAGAGTTTTCATTAATAACTTTAAATGAATCAAATCTCAAAACTATAAATTTGCAGATGCGCCGGTATCTTTATAAACCATCGATATCTGCATAATAGGTACAAAAAAGTTCTCAAGAACAATTGACAGCAATTGAAAGTACTCAGACTTCACAAAAAAAAATTTAAGCTAAAATTATTTTTATTTAAATTTTTTTCCCCATTAGGTGTCTCAAAAGTTTTTCGACGTAGCTGGCTTTCCTGGAGTGCTAGGAGCGATAGATTGTTCGCATGTAAGAATTCTGTCTCCTGGTGGAGAAAATGCTGAAAGGTTCCGGTGTCGGAAGGATTTTTTTTCGCTCAATGTACAGACAGTCTGCGATGCAGACTTGTCAATCAGAAATGTTGTGGCTCGGTGGCCTGGATCTGTGCATGACAGCACTATTTTCAGTAACAGTGCTGTCTGTCTAGATCTACAGACTAATCCGATCTATAAAAACTACCATCTCTTAGGCGATAATGGCTATGGCTGCCAGCCTTTTTTAATGACACCTGTGTTGGGACCAAACTCACCTGCACAAGTGAGGTATGTAATTGCATTTTTAAATTTTAAAATGATTTTTGTATACTTTAAAGCATGGTATTATTGGATTTCCAAATAAAGTCACTTCATAATTATTGGTTATATGTGTTTTGTAATAGGGCAATTTCTTATTATCCAGCTTTTACCATTTTTGGATAAATATGGCAATTACTAAACTGGGGTAAAACATAAAAGAAGTTGTTATAGTTGAGGGAAGGCAATATTAGTAGAAAATTTATTCCGAAGATGATGATTAATATTAGTTGAAGAAGCGGTAGCTCATGGAAAACAGTGCCTGAATAAATATGTTGGTACTATTTATTGTAGGAAGTTATTTTCTATTTGTCCAATTATTCAGTTCTGTTTATTGAAAAAAAAAATAATTTAGAATCAAATTTGATAAAAAATAAAAATCTTTTATGACTAAAAATACATAGCTAAAAATATCATTTTTAATATATTTACTATTTACACAATACCAGTGTATGATTAATTATTATTCAGTGTCACATCACACGAGTTTCAAAATATATTTTAAACCTTTTTCTTTTGAACCACTTTAAATATTAAATTTTCAACTGACTTTTTGGTCTTAAAGATTTAAATCTTCCGCCAGATTTTTTACAAATTTTATGTTGATACTGAGGTGTGGGGTTTATTTTTTGTTAAACTGCTGTATCCCTTTTCATAATTCTAGCATCTATTTGCTAGTATTCATTCACTGCTTAGTCTCTCTATATGA